GTTCACTGCTTGGGGAAAGGCAGTCGCCGTGTATTCACCTCGTCGGGTGGTCGAGAGGTGGTGCCCCCAACTAGTGGTAGTCGAGGGCGACTGCCAGTGCGCCAAGCAAAGTGGAGAAGATCAGAGAGCATGGAGCTGCACATCCGTCGCGAGACGGTTGCGGCTGCGAGCCGCCGGGACTCGGAGACGTGATCCAAAAACCCGAACCGTCGTTGACGACTCGAGCGATGGACGTGCCGAGTCAAGGCCGAGTTGAGACGGAGCAGAGACGGCGCCAATCGACTGGTGCTGGTGTACCCGCGCTAAGGTCGTCTCGGCTTCGATCCCGCTGCAGCGTCGCGGTCGACTTGAACTGAGGATGCGCGTGGGGCAGCGGGGTCCTTGAGCCGAAGAAGCAGCGACCCGCTTGGAGCGGCGCGATCGACTTGATCTGATGCGAGTGACGAAGCGGGGTCGTCATGAGCTGAGGATGCTGTGACCCGCTTGGAGCTCGAGCTGAGATGGAGATGTAGTCAGTGAGCAAGACCGTGGTGCCCCAGAAGAGAGGACGGGCTTGGTGTAGGAACCTAGAAATCTCCATGATGTCGCACTTGGGGATCATGTCATGGTCCTTGAAAGGAACGCATGTAGTCCCGTGGGACTTCTTTAGACCCGCCAGATAGTACATAAGATAACTCACGTTGTTGCATGGCCCTCCGTGGGCGCACGCCTCGGATCTAGACCAGACCTCGTGGAGGACGTTAGGTGCAAGATTACCGAGCCTTGACATTGCTCGGTTCAAGTCCAGACCTCGTAGAGGCCGTAATTGGTGCAAGAACACCGAGACTGGGCATGCATCGAGCGAACAGTTGAGCTGGGGACCCAACGACGCGGAGTTGTGCACAGACTCGACGTCTCTTGAGATTATCACGTTGGATTGCGAATCCAGAGACGTCGTCATGTCCGCACCCTCGGCCGTGCAAGGGACGTCGCTCTATCGTTCGCATCCCGTCCAGGCTCCGTAGGAGTCGTTAGGTGCAGGACCGGAGCCTGTCCAGTCCTCGTAGAGGACGTTGGGTGCAGAGTCCGCCGAAGTCTTCACAATATTTTTTGTCCGTGGTAAAAGCCGCCGCACCGACACCGAGTGTCGAGGTGACAAAGAGGGTCGAGAGGAGGAGGAACGAGACAGAGCGCGCGACGCAAACAAAGCTATGCGCCGGAGCAGTCGTCGAGGGCCGCCGATAGCGTGGCTACCGGAGCCCGACGGGTCGTCGTTGCCGTCCGAAGAGACCGATGAGAGGAAACGACCGCAGTGGCGCGGCGTGAGAGCCGACGCAGCACACTACGACCGTCGACGGGCACTGACGAGGTCACACCGTCGCCAGTAGCACCCGCCGACACACTTGAGCTGGCCGATGGACGACCAAAGCCGCCGCACCGACACTGGATGAACGAGTCGTCTTAGCCCAGACTCGTGATCTGCATGCCGACTGTATGCATAGTATGCTGTGGCATGCTAGAAAGGGCTTAAGATGTTGGAATCCAAACGGCAACTGACGCAACATCTACTGCTACACTACCGCGCGGTCTCGTGACGCCAATCTTCCTGGGACCGGGCGTCGAGTCTTGGTGATTCTTCTTTCGCGCGTAGAAAACGTAAAGGCCCCTTCATGGCCTTTTCCAATATGCGGAGTGTCAAAGACCGCTGTCGGCCTTCGGCCGGGAACCACACCGGCCTCCGAAGCTGGCGTCCATGGCAGGGTCTCCTGCTCCATGGCAGGGTCTCCTGCTCCTGCTCTGTGCTTCGCGCGCGAATTGCAATTGAAACCTCCAAATCAAATGAAACATCCGAATACGAATCTAACATCACGATCTAACACCTTGATCAAACACCACGCGTAGCATCGAGGTCCCGCGCCATCGCGCAGGCCACATCAATACCGAATGCACTACTGCGCACAGTACTCTACCGCGCTGCCGTGTACTATCGCAGGTGCACACGCGACGCTCGTGGTTGGCGCATCGATGCCAAAGGCACTCGCTACACTCGCACATGGCATACATTATGCCCCTTCCGGGCTACCGCCGGATGCACTCGCTACGCTCGTGGCTTGTGCTATCGCGCAAGACCCGATTGCACCGGGACTTTGGCTCAACTGGCAGGAATTGATGAGGTCCTGCGCGGGTTCAACCGACAGGCGTTGTTGCGTGATATTATGCATCAGAGTTATTTCGGGTGTCCCGAAACCCAAATTATATCGATGAGCAGCAACGTCGTCGCCGAGCTACAAGCGGCAATCGAGCCGGTCCGTCGAGACTAGTTCCTCCTTGGCTTGGCTCATGCCACTTGTTCCAGGAGCCCGAGCACATTGACTCGAAGGAGCAGGTGGTGGTGATCGCTGAGAATGCCAACAACGCCGAGGCCATTGCCACCGTGAACGAATCGCCCAAGCTGGTACGTACTCGACTGGGTGCTCCTTCTCATTGCCACCATAGCCTGTCGTCGATGTCGTTCCCGTGCAGCCCAACGTAGGACGCGACTGCGATCTCTCTTTCTCTGATCGCATCTTATTTGTGTAGGAGGAGAGCTCGAGCGTAAGCACCAAGCTGCGTTTCCGCTACCCAGCTACCGATACTGTAGGAGCCTGAGACCGTACCGGTGCTACCGATCACACCATCCGACCCCTGGCAGTCGACCCTCGTCCGCGCCGACCGCGCG